CGTAGCTCTCGGGGTATCACGGATGGATCTCATCCCTAATACCCGCACCTTTTTCTTTGGGGCAACCTAAAAATATTTAAAAACATTATGGTTAGAAATTCAATTTAAAATTAAAATTACATTAATTAAATATATTAATTGAATTTACCTCTTCGAAAATCTGGTCCATCTCTGCCACCGTCAGCGCCGGGGTCGATTAGACCGAGCTACCTCCAGGAGACGTTGGACGCGCCTGCTGAGTCAGTTGCGTCTGCCGCTCCTCGATCGCCGCACAGGCGGCGTTGTAGATCTCCTCCGCCTGAGGATCCGTGAATTCGCCGTTCCGCTTCTTATGCGTCTCGGCGAAAACCTTCGTCATCGGAGGAAGTTCTCCTACGTTTTCTTCGACCTACAAAATCAAAATGAAAAAAATTATAAGACAAATAAGGGTTAATTATTTAAAAACAAAAAATTAATAATTTAAATTTACTTACCATCATAAGGCGTCTTCCGGCAAAAGGAATCTGGCCGGAAGTGTGCGGGACGTTCTTCCGATTTCCCACATCGTCAGTAGCGTTCCTGAAAAATATTTTCATTAGAATATATTATAAAAAGAAAAAACACATAATGTAATTATTAATTAAATTAAATTACCTGGATCCGGAACACTTGGCGGCAGTAGTCTGGTTGTGCGGATCCAACCAATACTGGACAAGACCCCGCCAGACATAATTGGCCATAGGCGCCGGCTTGGCCTTGTCGCCGTCAACCTCCCACTTCCGTTTCCAGTCGGAAACGGTGTTGTTGAGGCGGAATTTGACCTTCTCCTTGAAGGCCGTCTCCACACGTCCGTGTGCGGATGTTTCCCAATGCCAGTTTTGCTAGAAAAAAAAACAAAAAGTTAGTAATTATTGTAAAAAGTAAAAAAACAAAATTGTAAATTACTTACCGCAAAACACTTGAACCAAGTTCAAGTGTGGCCTGATCCAGCTTCTTCCAGCTGGTATGGGGTTGTACGAAAAAACCCCTTGATGATATCCACAACGTTACGTTCGACGACATTGTCGGTCGTAAACCTAGTCAAATACAAAGAAAAAGTAAATTAATTTCAAATAATTATAAATATTAATTATTTTAAAAATATTTATAAAAAAAAATTTCGTACCAAAATGTTCCTGGGGCTCGATCCGGGTCGAGTTTGTTCATAGTCTCATGACCCGTTTGTTGTAGAAGATCCCGTACCGTAAACTGGGCATACAGTACAGGCTGGATCAGAACAGCAGGATCGGCCGGTTCGGGGGCCGCTGGTTCGGCTGGTGGTGGTGGAGGCAGTGCCGGCTGCGGTACAACGACCGGTTGGGAAACCGTCCGTTGTGTTCCCGAGGACTCTGGGATGACTGACCCGGTCGCCGAGGTAGACGGGGCCGTACCGTCTGAATCTACCAGCTGTCGGTAGTGAAACCTCTTAGCCCGAGGAGCCATATCAACGTAATCTACAAAATTAAAAAATATTTGTTACTAATTCATCATATATTTAATTATAAAATCCGGGCCTATCTAAATTCCGAAACCTAAATCTAAATTCCGAACCTAAATCTTAATTCCGAACCTAAATCTAAAAGAATCTGTAATGAAATTAAATTAAAAAAAAAACTTACAAGTATTGGCTTGGAGAGTAGGGAGAGAGGGAGAGGTTTAGGGTTTAGAGAGGGGAGAAGAGAGGAATGAGCGACGAAAGAGGGAAAACTCGCGTCCCTTATATAGATTTTGTGATCGTCGTAAAATCGTCGTAAAGTTACGACGATTTTACGACGATTCAGTTGTATAACAGTCGGTCCACTGCATGACATGACACGTGTCATGATGGGAGCGTTTGACCGTTACGACGGTTTTACGACGATTTTACCCAAAACCGTCGTAACGTCTAAACATTTATAACCTCGTACCTTGGATCAAGAGCCTATCCGGTGCAAACGTTACGACGGTTCAACGACGGTTTTAGAGAACTTAGTCGTAAAACCGTCGTAAAGTTACGATTATATTACGACGGTTTTACAATATTTTTTTAAAAAGTTATTAAACCCTAAATCTTAAAAAAGGGATATTGCATAAAGAACAATGCAAAGGTTATTGTATCCTAACATATAACAAAAGGTTTACAACTTTGCATGTATGATGGATTTAGGACATGAGATAGTAAATATTGAAATTCCGTAATCTAATATAAAACCTTTCACTTAACATTTACGAAAACATGCATGAACTTGTAAATATGTATGTTTTTTTTCAAATTTTTGATTTTGATCAGATTGATAGCATTTCATATACAATAAGATAACCAATCAAAAATATTTGTGAAATACCTTACAACCAATAAGATATAAAAGATTCAAATTCTTGGATTTCAACATTACGACGGTTTTACGACGAAATAGTGTACTCATCGTAAAATCGTTGTAATATTACGACGATATTACGACTGTTCGTCATAAAGACGTCGTAATGTTGAAACCCTATTCATTTAGGGCTTATAACCTAGAATTAGGGTTTAGGGTTTAGTAAAATCGTCGTAAAATGGTCGTAAAATCGAATTTTTTCAATTTTAAATTTTCTAACAATCAAAGTTACAAATGACATAATAACAAAAATTAAGTATTCACTACATACAATGCATGAAACTCAATCAGATTCCTCTTCCTCTATTACTTCGTCACCATCACCTTCGTCTTCCGCCAAATTGTCATCTTCGGTTTCAGCAAACTCATCATCATCACCTTTTTCTTCTGTATCATCGGAACGATCTTCAACTTGCATGTTCCGAGGGTCTATTAAGAAAATCTGATCATCAATATCTGGTTCAGACAACTCTACGCAAGTGTCCTTCGTCACCAACTCTATTACTTCGTCACCATCACCTTCGTCTTCCGCCAAATCGTCGTCTTCGGTTTCAGCAAACTCATCATCATCACCTTCTTCTTCTGTACCATCGGAAAGATCTTCAACTTGCCTGTTCCGAGGGTCTATTAAGAAAATCTGATCATCAATATCTGGTTCAGACAACTCTACGCAAGTGTCCTTCGTCACCAACTCTATTACTTCGTCACCATCACCTTCGTCTTCCACCAAATCGTCATCTTCGGTTTCAGCAAACTCATCATCATCACCTTCTTCTTCTGTATCATCGAAAAGATCTTCAACTTGCCTGTTCCGAGGGTCTATTAAGAAAATCTGATCATCAATATCTGGTTCAGACAACTCTACGCAAGTGTCCTGTTGAAGTGGAACATCCTCAACCCCTACAATCTTGCCCCTCGGAGCGACTTTAACTACAGCTAACCATGAGATTCCTGTTGATCGAACTCGAGGGTATGGCAGAAACGTTACCTGTTCTGCTTGAGAAACTAATATAAATGGCTCAAACCTGTTGTACCGTCGTGATTTGTTAACGACGGTGAGAAGATCTTTTCTAAATTGCACAACAAGATTGGAATATTCAATGCCAGTTGTGATATTACATCAACAGATAATGTTCGTGTATTAAGATCCGGAAAAAAAACACCAATGCCTCCAATAGCTTCATGGACATTTTTGGGCAAGAGTTCAGCAAATGCAAATGGAAATAATCGTTGCATAAACACATGGCAGTCATGGCTTTTCATCCCAGCAAACTTTACCCCCTTCTCAACAGATTTGGAAAGATTAGAGACATACCCATCAGGAAATTTAACGTCAGAAGAAACCCATCTGAACAATGCTGACTTTTGATCTGCACTCAACCGAAATACAGGAACTGGTGCTTTCCCGTTTCTCAGTAGATGCAACTCACTTCTGTTGCATAAATCAGGCAAGTCCAATCTTGACTTACCATTGTCTTTTGTTCTTCCCGCTACGGTCATAACTGTATGCATGATGTTATCAAAAAAGTTTTTTTCAATGTGCATGACATCAAGATTGTGTCTGAGCAGATGATCTTTCCAATAAGGTAGTTGCCAAAAGATACTTTTCTTGTGCCAATTATGATGAACTCCATAACCTTCAAGCATATTTGCAGGAGTGTGCCAGTTTCTCCCACGCGTTACTGTTTCCTCTGCCCTCCAATGATCGATTTGCGCCTGTATATCAGCTCCTGTTAAATTAACGGGTGGAGGGACATGTACACTTTTGTTCTTCATAAATAACCTCTTGTTCCTCCGATATGGATGGTTATCCGGTAAAAACCTCCGGTGACAATCAAACCAACAAGTTTTTCTACCATGTTTTAGCTGAAACGCATCAGTTCGATGAAGACAATAAGGACAAGATAGCCTCCCATGTGTAGTCCATCCTGATAGCATACCATAAGCGGGGAAATCGCTTATTGTCCACATAAGCACAGTCCGCATAGTAAATTTTTCCTCGTAGAACAGTCATATGTGCGAACGCTGTTGTAGGTGGGCTGAGCACAGCCCCCTTTTTCGTAATTCCACAAAAAGCCCGTTAAGGTCAAAGATCAACAAGCCCATTCGCGAAGAGCAAAACGAGGTCGTTCGGGTAGATAACCCAACAAAGTCTAAGGAGCAGCTCGCCACGTCGATATGGTTGGGACAGCTCGCCACGTCGACAAGGATGAAACAGCTCGCCAGCACGACGCTCCGATAGACGGTCGGTCAGGTCTATATGCCCGGCCGCCCAAGCTACTCTGACCGAGATGTAACCTAATTTAAGCACTATAAATAGCCCTGTAACTTCATTTATTACGGGATCCGTAATCCGAAATATAAACAAGAACACTCAAGACTTAAATCTTTAACTCTTACCTCGCTTACCTGACCTCGTAATACCACCTCGAAGACTTCATATCGATCTCACCTCTATTCAAACAAGAATCTCCGAGCTCCACCTAGAAATATTTACCAAAGTGACCTCGCGTGCGAAAATAATACAACAATTGGCGCCCACCGTGGGGCTAAGAGATTTCTTTCTACGCAAAGAAGAGCTCGATAATGTCAGGAATTCAAATCAACAAAACAACTAACCTACCCATGTCAACTATTGCCGAGGAAGGACTTCCTGTGTCACCAGTTAACAATCCGGAGACCTCGAATGAGCAACCATCAACGATGAATCCCGTGGAAAACGCAACTTCAGACCCAGAAGCAGAAGACGCGAATCGAAGCACACCAACAGCTCCTACCGACGTCACAACGTTATTTGCAACAATGATGGCTCGAATGGAAGAGCTGAATCGTCAAACAAGCGCTCGCCTGAACGAGCTCGCCGCGGCACAACTTTCTTGCCAAGATCAAGTCAACACGTTACATTCCTCAGAGACCCAAGCCCTAGAGAGACGAGCTCAAGAAATTCAACGAGTACAACGCGCCTTATTCGGAGACTCCCCCGCTCCGCCAACAACAGAAAATCATCCGACCTCGAACTGCGACGAGGTGAACATCGGAGCTCCCGAACACGAAACACGTTGGCTTCAAATAAGAAACTCGCAGCAGGATGAAGAAATGCTCGAAATGAGAGCCAAATTGCGAGCCATGACTACACTTGTTCATCAAGCAACTAGCTCGGCACCTGAGATCGATCGTGTGTTGAAAGAAAGTCAAAGCACACCATTCACGACTCGAATCACCGATTTTCCAATTAGAACTCAAGTAAAGTTCAACCTCCCGACATATACAGGCAACTCGGATCCGAGTCAATTCATGACCGTGTTCAGCATTCAAATGGGCCGAGCACGATTCACTCCCGAGGAGAAGGATGCAGGTTTCTGCCAACTATTCGTCGAAAATCTAAGCGGCGCGGCCCTCGTCTGGTTCTCCAAATTGAAAGTGAATTCGATTGACAGCTACCAAGCACTGTCAACGGCATTCCTCAAAAGGTACATGATGTATATCCAAGGCGCAGTCTCCAGCGCCGACCTCTACCAGATCAAACAGGGCGAAAAAGAATCCCTTCGGTCATTCATCGGCAGGTTCAACGCGATCGTCTCTCGAATCACCGTAACTGACGAGGCATCACTGCCAGCCCTTCGGAATGCCCTTCGAATCGATTCAAAGTTTCGAGACAGTCTCAAGTTCAACAAACCCCGTACTCTCGAGGACGCACTTCATCGTGCCACCTTATACATCGAGGACGAGGAAGAAAAAGAGAGCGCGTCGTCAGCAAAAGCGACGCCGAAGCAGCAGCCTCACAAAGAGACCCCCAAACAAGAATATCAGGAGCCTCGACAGCACCTCGACAATAATTATCGAAGTGACAATCGCCGAGGAGCAACGTACAACATCAGCACTCAACAGCAACAGAATCGCCAGTACCAAAACCAATTGAACACCTGGCAGCGGGGAGATCGCGGAGAGACACGGCCTTTCTGCGATTATCACAACAAATACGGTCACCCGACTGTGATTTGTCGCGAGCTACAGGCTTATTTGCTCGCCAAATATCGCAAGGGGGAGATCGCTTTATCAAACCAGCCCCAAAACACCGTGACACGAAACAGCGGAACTCGACCGACGGCTCCCGCCGAGCAGCTTCCACCTCCTCCCCCAAGGAACGAACAACCCAACGACGACATTGCGAAGAGAGACCGTGAAAACCAGCTTCGAGGTGATACCCCTCCGGCATCTCGAAAGAAGGTTTTCTTTATCATGGGAGGCCTATCGACGTGCAACGATTCCGTCAGGTCGATAAAAAAGTACGGCCGCCAGGTCATGCTCGCACAAAAATGGCAAGTTAAAAGTCCTAAGACCGCCGATTGCGGTGCAATCACCTTCACCGAGGCCGACACCGAGGGAGTCGACATGCCGCATAACGATCCGCTTGTGGTCGAACTGCGTATCGCCGATTGCGAGGTGTCTCGGATACTGGTTGATACAGGGAGCTCGGTCGACCTGATTTTCAAAGAAACACTTGACAAAATGGATGTGGCGAACCATCATCTCAAGTCTTCGATTAAGCCACTCACAGGATTCGATGGAGATACGGTCTACTCAATCGGGACGATCAGACTCCCAGTTTACGCGGCAAAAACGACCCGCCTCGTCAAATTTGTTGTCATCGATAAACCTGCCATCTACAACGTAATTCTAGGTACGCCCTGGTTGCAATCCATGAAAGCGGTGCCGTCGACCTATCATCAATGCCTCAAGTTCCCAACCGCGTTCGGGGTAAAAACTATTCGAGGCTCTCAGGAGATATCGAGACTCTGCTTCGCTGCAGAGCACAAGCTCCGATTCAAATCCACGATTCCAGCCAAGGTATGTCTCACGATTTTACCCGTAACTCAAGTCGATTTGCCAACTCAAGAAAGACCGAAGCAAGAGCTCATCGTCCAAGTGAACATCGATGAAAGCGACCCCGAACGATGTGTAGGAATCGGAGCCGATTTAAAGGAGGAGATAAAGGTTGAACTCGTAAGACTTCTTCGCCGAAACGCGTCGACGTTCACCTGGTCAGTATACGATATGCCAGGGATCGATCCCTCAATCACCAGTCATGAGCTTAACATCGACCCAACGTTTAAACCGATCAAGCAGAAGCGAAGGAAGTTAGGTCCAGAAAAGGCGCAAGCCGTCAATGACGAGGTCGAACGTCTATCAAAGGCTGGCTCGATCATCGAGGTTAAATACCCCGAGTGGTTAGCCAACCCGGTCGTCGTCAAAAAGAAAAATGGGAAGTGGCGAATTTGCGTGGATTTTACCGATCTCAACAAGGCATGCCCCAAGGATAGTTTCCCCTTGCCACACATCGACCGAATCGTCGAGGCAACCGCCGGAAACGAGCTCCTGTCGTTTATGGACGCCTTCTCCGGTTACAACCAAATCACGATGCATCCCGAAGATCGCGAGAAGACGTCCTTCATCACCGATCGAGGTACTTATTGCTATAAGGTAATGCCGTTCGGCCTGAAGAACGCGGGCACGACATACCAACGACGGTGATATGCTTGTCAAGTCACTCACCGCCGGTGATCACATCGCCCATCTGCAAGCCTGCTTCACCGTTCTAAATCAATACCAGATGAAGCTCAATCTGACTAAGTGTACCTTCGGGGTAACTTCTGGAGAGTTCCTCGGCTACATCGTCACTAAACGAGGAATCGAGGCAAATCCGAAGCAGATCGATGCCCTGATCAGTCTTCCATCGCCTTGCAACACTCGCGAAGTCCAACGTCTCACCGGCCGGATCGCGGCACTTAACCGTTTCATCTCTCGATCAACGGATAAATGTTTGCCCTTCTACCAGCTCCTCCGAGGCAACAAGCGTTTTGAATGGGACAGCAAATGCGAAGAAGCTTTTCAACAACTCAAGGAATACCTCGCCAGCCCTCCAATTTTGGCAAAACCGGAAACAGGCGAAACCCTCTACCTCTACATCGCGGTGTCGAGCTCAGCGGTTAGCGGCGTCTTGGTCAAAGAAGATCGAGGCGAGCAGAAACCGATTTTCTACGTTAGTAAGACTCTCGACGACGCCGAAAAACGGTATCCAACTTGGGAGAAGCTCGCACTCGCGGTCATTATGTCCGCCAGAAAGCTACGACCCTACTTTCAATCCCATTCAGTCGTTGTCTTGACCAATCAACCGCTTCGAACGATATTGCACAGCCCGAGCCAATCAGGCCGCATGGCAAAATGGGCTGTCGAGCTAACGGAATACGATATCGAGTATCGCAATAAAACAAGCGCCAAATCGCAGGTTCTCGCGGATTTTTTGGTCGAGCTTCCTCTAGAGCTAATCCAGACCGATCTACCTGATGAGAAGTGGTCCTTGTACGTCGACGGATCTTCCTCAACTCGAGGCGCAGGTTTAGGCATCCGCCTAGAATCTCCGACGAAGGAGATATTGGAGCAATCATTCCGGCTCGAATTTCCAGCCTCCAATAACGAAGCAGAGTACGAGGCCTTACTCGCAGGACTACGCCTGGCGCAAGGAATCGGGGTCAAAAAGATCGAAGCTTTCTGCGATTCCCAACTCGTTGCCAGCCAATACAGCGGCGACTACGACACAAGAAACGACCGGATGGACCTGTATCTTAAAGCCGTTAAGAGCCTCGCCAATCGCTTTGAATTTTTCTCACTCACTAGAATTCCGCGCAGCGATAACACTTCGGCAGATGCACTAGCCGCCCTCGCATCGACGTCCGAACCACATCAACGGCGTGTAATCCCGGTCGAGAGCATCGATTCCCCCAGCATCGTCTTACCTGGAGGAGTATGCGCGGTTCAGGAGCTCGAAGCCAACAGATTAGACGCCATCGAATTACCTCCCCCCGAGGTCATAGATGAGCCCGCCGAGCAAGAACCAACAACCGAAGACTGGAGGATTGAAATACTGCTCTACATTACGGATGGCCAAGTCCCAGACGATCGATGGGCAGCGAGGCGTTTAAAAGTTCGTAGTGCTAAATACATTCAATCACATGGCAATCTTTATCGTTGGAGCTCGACAGGCGCTCTACTCAATTGTCTTCACGGTGAAGCGACGCTTGATGTCATGCGAGAAACGCACGAAGGAGCATGTGGAAATCACTCCAACGGTCGAGCTCTCGCCCTAAAAATCAAAAACCACGGTCATTTTTGGCCGACAATGCTTACCGATTGCGATCGGTTCGTAGCTCGCTGCGAGCAATGCCAACGACATGCACCCACGATCCACGCACCAGCCGAACTCCTAGCTGCATCCTCACCACCTTACCCCTTCATGAGATGGGCAATGGACATCGTGGGTCCCTTACCTCGATCCCGACAGAAACGATTCATACTTATCGTCACCGATTATTTTACGAAATGGGTCGAGGCCGAGTCCTATGCCAAAATCAAAGCAACCGACGTGAAGAACTTCGTCTGGAAAAACATCATATGCCGTCACGGACTGCCCTACGAGATCGTCACCGATAATGGTCCCCAGTTCATCTCCGATGTATTCGAAGACTTTTGTGCCAAGTGGAAGATACGACTTAGCAAATCTACACCGCGATACCCGCAAGGGAACGGACAAGCCGAGGCGACCAACAAGACTATCCTCGATGGCATCAAAAAGCGACTCGAGGATAAGAAAGGCTTATGGGCAGATGAGTTAGACGGAGTTTTATGGTCACATCGAACTACACCGCGAAGATCGACGAATAAAACTCCTTTCTCATTGTCACATGGCATGGAAGCTTTGGCTCCGGCCGAGGTCGGTTTACCAACCATACGTAGAGCGATGTTGACACAAGACACAAAAAAGAACGGAAGAATGATGAAGGATAGCCTCGATATGCTCGAAGAGGAGCGGGATCACGCCCTGTTACGTATGCAAAATTATCAGCAGCAAATCTCACGATACTACAACAAACGCGTGAAAGGAAGGCACTTCGAAGCCGGCGACCTCGTCCTTCGAAAAGTGTTCGAAAACACCGAAGAATACCGTGCCGGAAAACTAGGCGCGAAGTGGGAAGGCCCCTACCAAGTCACCAACGTCGTGAAACCTGGCGTCTACGAGCTGATGACGATGGACGGTGAAATGCTTCCTCGATCTTGGAACTCGATGAACATTAAACGGTACTTCTATTAAATCAAAAAAAAAAAAAAAAAAGGACGCTCACCAAGCTATACTCGGTCGAGCTATATCTCGAATGTGAACTACGATCGGCTTGATCCCAGTTTGTTGGGTACGTAGGCAACCTCTAACGAGGTACAGCTATTAATAAAATTTTATTAATACAAACTTTCACGTCGACATCTTTCACTTTGACATCTTTTACATCGACATCCTAGCTAGATGTTCGATCTTTTAATACGCATTTCCTTACAATGCAAACTCTTAACAAATCCTAAGGAACAAAAACCTTACGATTATAAGAGAATAAGCCGGGACCAGTCCCGCGTCCTTTCCTAAATCACCCGAATAACTACGTCGAGATCATTCTCACTATTCGGACACGATTAGCGAAATAAAACAGGGTAAGCCGAGTCATACCTCGCACCTATTGTCTTTTAAGCCGAGTCATACCTCGCACCTCGCATTCGTTGTTCCCTTAATTTTATCTCGTATTAATTATCTTATTAAAAAGATTTCCTATTCACATCGGTCTAATTTTCGAAACAAGTCTTTACCTCGTATTAATCGTTTCGCTTTATTTAAATCTACCTCGGGTTTATTATCTTTTATTGCGAGCTGATACTTTGGAAAAGAATATTCATTGATGAGATTAAGTCGAGTCTTTACAAACGAGGCAACATAACAAAATAATAAGTAAAAGGAAAAAAGGTAATAACGCATGAAAGAAAGATAGGTGAGATCTACTCGTCAGGCTGATTGCCACCCTCGCGGTCCTCTTCATCCTCATGATGCTCCTGATCCTCAGCCTCGTCATGAGTGGAACCACCGTCCGGAGTCTCGGGGTATTGCGGGGGCATGTCGCCTTCCTGAAGATCAGATAACCGAAGTCCTTCAAGTTTCAGCTCGCAATCGCGCATGGTCGCCTCGAGATCGGCCCGCAACTCGACTTCGGTCATCTCTTTGTCCTTCAAGAGATCAAGGCACTCAAGAGTACCTCGAGCCTGAACAAGTTCTAACTTCACCTTCACGATGGCCTCCTGTTCAGCGATAAAGGTCCTCAATCGATCTATGCGACCCGAGAACTTGTTCTCCGCATCTACCCAAATCCGAGTAGTCTCGGATTCTATCTTCTCCTCGGCATGACGCTTGACGCGAGCCACTTCGGACGCAACCACTTTCTCAGCCTGGAGCTTCGCTTCGTTGACCGTTTGCAGGTTGCTGATCAGATCCTGATTTTCCACTTTCAGCTCTTCGATCTTGTCAGTCAGCGTCTTCACACCTTCTTCCAATTGCTCGGAGCGTCTTTTTTCGACCTGCCACTTCTCTTCAGCTAACTTTCGTCGAGCAAACGCAGCGTCGCGCTCTTCCACAGCCCTCTTCCCAGCGGACTGAGCATTACGAAGCTTCGTAGCAGCAGCTCGAAGTGTTCGATGATATCGACCACGCGCGCGGTTACAGCTCGCGATGAACTGATAAAACGTAAGTTAGATCGAGATCGAAGCAGAGGTAAAACTTAAGTCGGAAATATGAAACAAAATTCACAACATACCTTGAAGGCATAGCCCGCCATGTCCTTAAAGACCGCGTCATCAGCAGCGGGAACCTCGGAGGTAGACCCCTTTATCAGTCCGAAGAGCTCGGCACATTTGTCAGCATTATTGACAAGAGGCACCCCGGATTCAGGATAATCAAATTTGAAGCTCCAATCGACCTCCGGAGCCTTACCGTCGCCGGTGGGGCCAACCTTCGACCTTTTTCCCGGTTCCTCGGGATCACCGTCTACAACCACCTCGCCAGAGGGTCTCTTCCTCGATTCATCCTTCGCCGCCGACTCAGCGACATCGGGTTGATTCACCTCCTCGGCGAGCTGGGCGGTCTCGACCTCATCCTTCTTCTTCTTCTCTCTTCTCTTCTGCTTCTTCGCCTCCTTTCTGGCACGCCTCGCAGCTTCATCAGGCCCCTCGGCGACGAGCTGACCTTCCTCTTGAGCCCCCACCTCAGGCTCTGCCGATTGAGCGCGACATTCAGCAGGACCGCTATCTCGACGAGCCTCGACCTCACTAACTCGAGGTGCAGTAACTTGGGTCAAACGACCCGGTTGAGCGGGAGATTCCCGACTTCTATTTCCCCCGCTGCTGCGACTGGCCCTGAGCCTCGCAGCAAGACTGGGCGCGTTGACTTGAACTGGAGCCATCGCAATCGCTCTCTCCCTTAGAGAATTTTCTCTTCTCCAACTAGCTGGAATTAAAAGAAGTGTTAGACGACATAAAAACTCAACTTGGAATATCGACGAGGTCGAACTTTACCGTTTGTAATACGAGAAATGGCAGCCTCGACTCTTCGGCGATGGATATGGGGCCAGTGCTGTATCCCAACAGCCCTAATCTTCTGAATATTC